TTTTGTCTCTTGGTTCAAGATAGGTGATAACATTGATTCAAGATGTTACCGACTTGTGTTAAGAAAGGCTTTTTTTTTGACTCATTAATCTACTTATTTCCAAGAAATAATTTTATTTTGGTATAATAATTAAGACTTATTTAGTTTTTGAATTATACTTTGATGAATTATTTTAAGTTTTTTAAACGATAATGTTATTTTGATTGAAAAACTTAAATGTATTGATTGAAGATAATATAGCTCTTAAGCCAAGAAAATCTTAATCAAGACATGAAATTCTTAGAGCAAGATAATCATTTGTCTTCCAAAATAAATTCTTAGATCAAGAAAATATCTCTTGAGTCAACATAAATTTTCTATCAGTGTGCTAACCAATTATGAACTATTTTAATTAAATTAAATATTTTTCTTTTAGTTTTTTTACGCCTGAAAAAAGATTGAATACATAAATTTCAAAGTCAAATCATTGTAAGAAATTATTACAACGTACATCGATTATTATGAAAAAGATCAAAATTTATTCGATTTGTTCGAAATATATTTGAACAAAAGTAATTTTAACACCCGTATTAATGATTCAAAGTTTAATTTACGCAACAGCTGAATAACATTTCTATTCTTTTATTATAATTAATCTTATTAATTAATAAATGATTCCTCAAAGAATCATTATGGTTATTCAAAATTCTCGATTGTATATTTTATAAATAAAAAGAATTCTTAGAAGTTTGTATTAACTGTTTTAGATAATATTGAGTTGTATTGTTATGACGAATTAGAAACATAAATGTGTAGATCAATTTGAAGAATTATGAAAATGATCTGCAAAAACATTAATTTTAATAATTTTCCTTCTTTTATTTTAGTGTGCTTCAGTTAGCAGTTGCTGCCCAGGTTTGGTCTGTCATAGATTTGCCAATAGATGCTCTGTTGTTATTACTCCAGAAGAATTGTTAGAGGCGAAGAAGAATTTGAAAAAAACAGATTCCAAATTTAAAGATTGGTGAAATAGTAAATTTAATTCAAAATAACGTATATACTCTCGTTTTCTAAATGGAAATAAATATTTTTATAATATATAGACATATACTGTGAGTACACTCACTTTTTACACTACAGATGTAACACGAAGATTTTCAAATAGATTTTATAAAACAATGATTTTTGTTATGAATTAAAATAACTAATTTGGAGTTTCTATACTGTGAAAAATTTCTATTAAGCTTTTACTTTTCATGCAAATTACTTTTTTACTGATGGACTTTATGACCCCATTGCTAAATTTTACAACGGCCCATAGTAATTTCAGTTACTTTATGCTGTACTGAAATTTATTTAAAGAAAAAAATTAGGAAAACGGTTGACCCTGAAGGCCATCCCTGCAACTTCCCGCTAATTCTATACCTAAGCGCTTAAAATTGCTCTTAAGACGTTTTTGAGCTCGTCAAGTTCTTAAGACGTTTTTGAGCTCGTCGAGCTCAAAAATACAATTTATGTGTTATTTTGAGTTTCCCGAGCTCGGAAAGTTAGCTATTTCATGCTTTTGAGATCTTCGAGCTCAAAAGTCTGATGGGAGTTAGATGAAACACTATTAACACTTAAAATTTTCAAACTGCAATTACTTTTGAATTAATAAACTGATTTTCGCGTGGTTGGCAGCATTCAATGCAGTTTTTCGTATTCTATGATTATTTTTTAAACACAAATTGATCAGACCGAAAATTTTGGATAAATTTGAAAAATTCACTTTTTCCGACCCCCACGGAAAAATTATGTATCCTACAATATATGCTGAGAATATATATCCTAGTATATATTCAAGGACATATGCTGAGTATAAGAAAATTCGCCGAAAAATATATCTTAGGATATATTCTAGAATATATCCTCCGATATATCCTAGAACATATTCTAAGATATATTGTAGTATATATCCTAGAATATATCTTAGAATATATCCTAGGATATATTCTAAGAAATATATGCATGTGTTACGTCCATTGATTATGAACCAGACTATAGATCTCAAAAAAATTTTACATACAACGGGATACATACGAGCGCAAGTATATATCCATGGATATATTCGGGATATATACTGGAATATATACTAGCACATATATCCTAGCGTATATTTTTTGGCGAATTTTCGTATATCCCAGCATATATTCTAGAGTATATATAGGATATATTCCCAGCATATATTCTAGGATATATATTTTTTCCGTAGGGGGAATTTTCTCGGCAACGATAACTCACGAACCAATCAACCGATTTTGACGTTCTTGGAGAATATAGACGTGGTTTTTTGAGCTTTAATAATTATTTAATTTCATCAAAAACGATCCGAAAAGAAATGCCGAAGTTATGTAAAAAAAAAACATTTTTTTTTGAAATTTTTCATTTTCGATAATTCACAAACGAATCAACCGATTTTCATCGGCCTTGCGGCGATTGACGTCGTTTCCCTAGGTTAAGAACTGATTAGTTTTTAAGATTGATCAATAAATCCATTTAGAAGTTATTGCAAAAAAACGTGAGACGATCGACGATAGTCATTGTAGTCGGCAATGTAAAGTTTTATGCTCATAAGCTCGTTTTAATTGTGCGTTGCTGCGTGTTCGACGCTATGTTTTCGCGTGATATGAAAGAAAGAAAGCAAGCAAAATAAAGTAACTATACCAGATTTGGATCTTGAAATATTAAAAAAAATTCTTAATTTCATGTACATGGACAATGTACATGATTTAAATAGTTTTACTATATAATTACTGAAAGTGACTGACAGGTATCTTCAAAGACTCAAAACAATTTGTGAAGATTCTCTAGCCAAAACTTTAAATCCTGAAAATGCTATAAAAGTTATGATTTTGGCAAACATTTATATTTCATAATTATATAATACTCGATAGTTCTCATTTTTTTCCGTCGAGGACAACTAAGAGATGTCACTTTACATTTAGATAAGACTAAAGTATCTCATATTAATTTAATCTATAATAATAAATGCGACCTGGTGAAATTATTCTAATAAAATCTCACGAGTTTGTGTTTATCTGACTGTCTATGACGATTATGCGGTAATTGATAATTCAATGAATTTGCTAAATTATTCAGAGCGAAAATTAAGGGAAGATTTTGAAGATGTTTTTGTTTTTAAGAAAAAATGTGACGTCACTATTCATGTTTAAATTTTGATGCCCATAAGTTTATTTCGATTGCTCATAGCAGCGTGTTTGAAGCAATGTTTTCATACAATATGAAAGAAAATAAACAAAATAAAGTGACTCAACTCGATACATGTACTCAATTTTTTAAGAAAGTTTTTAATTAAATTCACACAGACAAAGTTGATGAGTTAGATAGTTTTGCTGAATAATTATTGGAAACATCGAATAAATATAAACTTCACGTACTCATCGAAAATAATTATTTTAATACCAAATTAAGCTGACACTTGACCAATTTGAATTTTTAACTTCCCGCTAAGAAAATCGAAGATTTTGAAAAATCGGGAAGTTACTGTTTTTAACCCGTTTTTCGAAAATCGAGTTTTCATCGGATCTCGACGTTTCGAGGTCCTAGAAAGCTTCCCTGATTATTCCCGCGATGGTGTATGTATGTATGTATGTATGTATGTATGTATGGATGTATGTATGTACGGATGTATGTATGTATGTATGTATGTATGTATGTATGTATGTATGTATGTATGTATGTATGTATGTATGTATGTATGTATGTATGTATGTATGTATGTATGTATGTATGTATGTATGTTATGTTTTATGTAAGTATGTGAATCACTTATAACTTTTGAACGGTTGAACCGATTTCATCGCGGTTGGTGGCATTCAAAAGGGCTTCGCTAAACTTAGATCTCCTGAGAATTTGAACCGATTCGGACCGATAGATTTTGAGAAATTTTGAAAAACCTCAAAAAAAATAAGAAAAAAATCATTTTTGAAAGTGGTTTTTTTGGAATATCTTTTAAACGGCTCGATCAATCAACTTCAAAAACTAATCCGCCCTTGAGCTTGAAAAACCACACCGATCGGCGCTAATCCGGTCAAAATCGGTTGATTCGTTCGAGAGATA